CTGTCATGAGTTTAAATGAAGAAAATACTAATTAGAAGGTAAAATGATGTAATTGGACTTGAAAAAGAAATATATTCAATTCAATATCTAAATTTGTTTCCTTATCTTTTATAAATATATAAATATATGATATTATAAAAGAAAATAACCTTTTGTATATACGATTTGATCTCGTAAAACAATAATAATAAATTTTTAAATTCAAAAATTGTATTTTAATATCGAAGGTTTCGATGGTTTTGCCATCCCGTTGAAACTTTCGCAATTTTGACTTTAATAAAAATATTTGGAAAAACGATTTCGATTTCGATGCCTGTCGAAACCTCCGGTTTTGCCTGGCAACCTTGAGATGGATGGTTGGATTTTGATTGGTAGGTTTTATTCTTTCTTCCATTTTTAGATTATTTATTATTTTATTTTAGTTCTTTTCGGAGGGTTAGCTAGATCTGCTACGTAAGACTTTTATTTTTAACATTATTTATTTCAAAATTATTTTTTTGATTTTTTCTTTTCATTGAATTATTTTTTTTTTAGAGATTTCTTTGTACTTCTTCGGGTTGGTTTGCTTCCGAAAGCTTTAGACAGCGTGATGTGGATGAATATGCTTCAGGCCTCACTAGTTGTAATTAGCCTCCTAGGAAGGCGCAGAAATACTTTGTGTAAATATTTCAATCCTAATTCCAATGATTTAATGTACTTTCTCATTCTTACACGCAGTACATAGAAAGATTGTAATTTGTCACAAAGAAAATGATTAACGACTCACGTATGCAATTTTTTTTTTTTCGTTTAGCATATATTTTTTTATAAATAAATTGTTCGGGCGTGATTTACATAAAGCTTTTTTGTAATTTTCGTTAATTTATTCCATGGTATTAGTTCAACTTTTCGTACTTTTGAAGTATTTAACAAAAAAAAAAAAAAAAAAAAAAAGTAAGTTGCGCGAATTTCAAAGTTGATAGTCAACTTTAGAAGTAGTACCTTTTTTTTGGTAAGACAAGAAACAGTTGATCCTTTATTTTATCCGAGCAAATTAGACTAATTATGGAAATATTTCGGTTGGAAAAATTTAAACCGAGGGCTGAGGTATGCAATTACTCATTGAAATAGCTACCCGAACATTTTAGTCAAAAAAAAAAAAATGGTTTTAAAAAACAATTTAGAAAAATCCTTAAAAGACTTGGAAACGAAAATTAAGGAACTGGTGCAAAGTAATGAAGAGTTGCGTTCACAATTTAAATATTTAGAAGAAAAAGTTAGAGAGCGAGATGAAGAAACCAAAGCCAAGGTTAGAGAAGCAAAAGCCAAGCAAGAAATTATTAATAAATTAGAAGAAAAGATTAGAGAACGAGAAGAAGAGACCGAAGCTAATATCAATAATTTAGAAGGAAAGATTAGAGAACGAGAAGAAGAGACCAAAGCCAATATCAGTCCTTTAGAAGAAAAGGTTAGAGAAGAAGCAAAAGCCAAGCGAGAAAGTATTAATAATTTAGATGAAAAGATTAGAGAACGAGAAGAAGTGTCCAAAAAAAAGCAAGATATTATTAATGAATTAGAAAAGAGAACCAGAAATCTTGAATTAATCATTTATGATGATACCATTAATTTAACTATTACAGATACTAATAAGGATTACATGTTGAACACCTTTGGCGGATTGCAAAGATATCGAAAATTGACAAAACTCAATTGTAACAATTCTCAAATAACAAGCATACCTACATTACCTAACTTCTTAAAGGAACTCTGCTGCTCAAAAACTCAAATAAAAAGCTTACCAACATTACCTAAATCCTTAACTTATCTTGACTGTTCTGAAAATCGAATAACAAGCTTACCAACATTACCTGACTCTTTAACGAAGCTCCGTTGCTATGAAACTGAAATAGAAAGTTTACATACATTACCTAACTCCTTAACTTATCTCGATTGCTCTGTAACTCAAATAACAAGCTTACCTACATTACCTAACTCCTTAACTTATCTCGATTGCTGTTTTACTCAAATAACAAGTTTACCAACATTACCAGACTCCTTAACAGAACTCCATTGCTATAGAACTCAAATAACAAGCTTACCGACATTACCTAACTCCATAACGAAACTTGATTGCAATGGAACTAAAATAACAAGCTTACCAACAACTTTACCTAACTCCTTAATGGAACTCCATTGCAGTGATACTGAAATAACAATCTTACCAACATTACCTGACTCCTTAACGGTACTCCTTTGCCGTAGAACTGAAATAACAAGCTTACCAACGTTACCTGACTCCTTAACTTGTATTGACTGTGCTGAAACTGATATTACAAGCTTACCAAATAAACCCGATTCCTTAACGAACATCAGGCCTACATGGTTTGGTTTAGATGATTGATACTCAAACAACTATTTACAACACCGTGATAAATTTAACTAAAAATTATTACTTTTTTAACTTATGATCAATTTAACTTTATTGTTCAAGCATTTATTTATTAATTATACAAGCATTTCTTTTATCA